GCTAGATATCAAAGTAGCAACTTCAATAATGACAGTAGTGATTATCAGTGATTAGGTGTGTTTGAGTAGGTAAATCACCAAACTGCCGGTCAATGGCCCTCCAGGACCAGAGTTGTGCTAGAATGTTTAGATGGCAATAAAAGTAGAAAAAGAACAAGACTTAACATCATTGGTCACAAGACTAAGATGATGGGACCTAATATCGTACTTATAAATTCTTATACATTTTGATCATTAAATCCTAAGTAATTATGATTTAGCAAGAACATGGAAAGATGCGTTGGAATGATCACAGCTTCTTTGAGTCTGAATACAAGCCTTTGAAGTGTTTACTTGAGATTGGTTTAACTGTTATCTTGCACAGGTCTTGCAAAATTGGAAGTATTGGTATTTTGACTGCCTGGCAGTTAGGACATTGCCTTTGCTCATTTTTTGTCAGTTTACTAGAAAATATATGTAAGTAATGAAAACATTGTGCAGAAAACATATTCTCAAAATATATTCAAAAACTTTGTTAGGGTCATATAGTGAAATTTCTTCTTACATGAGAGACTCCACAAACCTGTTAGAAAACTTCACCACAGGTGTGAGCCGGACAAAGGCAGGTGTACAGTCAGGAAAGTTGCAGAGTTGACATATAAACTCGGTCTGTGTGACAAAATGAATAATACAACATTATAATGCTAATTTGACACAGCTAACATTAGCTAGCTAGCCATCAAGTAACATAAAGAACTCTGTAATTTGCCCAATAAACTCTACAGACAATGATAGACAGTGGTCTAATTTTAGCTCTACCTGTGTCTTCCTTATCATAACTGTGTCTTACTTCCTGTGCACTTTTAAATCAATTTTGCATGCATACCATTGTAATGTAAAATGCAAAAAATCTGAAATCATGATAACTGTTGTTGTTACTGTTATCATCAGTAATTGTAGTATTAATATCTGAATTAGTTGATCAACTGGAAATTACTGACTTTTGATGACTGATTTGCCACTCTTTGTTCTATGTCTGTATGTAACTCTAGAAGTTTGTTGTCTGATAGTCAGGCATAATAAGCAGCAGTTTGATGATATAGCCTTTAAGACAAATTTATTGGTAACACTTTACTGTAGGGCACGGTAACAAAGGCTACATGACACCTACATAAGCACTTCATGACAACGGACACAAACATACCTAAACATTTATAAACACTTATTCCAAAAGGCGTCAGCTGTCATAAAGACTGCTTTTGTCAACTTTGATGTCAAATTGACATAACAACTATGTCAAGAGACATAGAGTTTTGGTGACATTAGGTTGTGTCATGACATTTTGTGAGGTGAAATGACATAGCATGTTATGACAACTGACAACACAGTGCTGATGATGTGACACAGCTTGATAAAATGAGGCAGTTGGTTAAACTGAACAAAAGTGAAAACTTAAGGCCTACACAATCGCAGTAGTGAGGTTGGGCACTGATTCTGGGTGAATAAGACTGACGTTCATCAAAGAAAACGGACTACAAAATAAAAGTCTATAAAATTCTTTGTACAATTGTAGTCCATCATGTGCGAACTCTGTAACTCTTTACTCATCCTTCATTAAAGAGAAAACAATGGTGCAGGATGCAAATTTCAGCACTTTTCTGTGACTCCTCTGTTGAGATCCTGTTGAGGGAAGAAGATACAACTAGTTCTTACCTTCCAAGCACACCGGCTTAGGTCTTCCACTTCTGGGCTCTTGAAATGTCCTTCCATAAAATACAAGCATGCCTCTAAGGTTACTGCTTCAGTGTCTTGGCCCCTCAGTGGTGGAATACACTTCTCCCTAAACTCTGCACTGCACGATCTCTCAGCTCCTTCTGTCATCGTCTGAAGAATCACATACTCTTAACTCAATCTCTAGACTTGTGTTATAAATATGTAGTTTACTATATTTAACTTTATGGTACGAGTTGTCTTTTAGAATAGACTCTTGCAGTCTCAATCTATAGTATTCTGTTGTGCTTTTGCTTCCACTGTTTGCACATCTTGTGCTGGTTAAGAGAATCTGCTAAATGGCAAAATAATGTGGGTAATGAAAAATCATTTTCATGAATCCTTAATCAAATACCATGACACTGTAATGACACTGTTATGTATGTTCTCTCTGGCTCTTAAGTGAGTTCCATTTTACAGTTTATAATATTTTTATGAATCCTTATTCAAGCGCCATGACACTCTTATGTATGTTTTCTCTGGCCCTTACGCAAAGTGAGTTCCATTTTACAGTTTTTAATATTTTTATGAATCCTTATTCAAGCACCATGACACTCTTATGTATGTTTTCTCTGGCCCTTACATAAAGTGAGTTCCATTTTACAGTTTATAATATTTTTATGAATCCTTATTCAAGCGCCATGACACTGTTACGTATGTTTTCTCTGGCCCTTAAGTAAAGTGAGTTCCATTTTACAGTCTATAATATTTTTATGGATCCTTATTCAAGCGCCATGACACTCTTATATATGTTTTCTCCGGCCCCTAAGTAAAGTGAGTTCCATTTTACAGTTTATAATATTTTTATGAATCCTTATTCAAATACCATGATTTATAATAATATCTTCATGTATATTTTCTTTGGCAACTAAGTGAGTACCATTTTGTATCAGCTTCATACAGTAAATCAGTGTAATATTCAATGTAATGACAGTCATATGTACAAAAGGTACTTGAACTTTTACTTGACATTATTTGGAATTTATGGCTGAATCACTTTTTACATAGAATGCTGCATGAGACAAAAAAAAATCTGAAGCTGGATCTACTGTTTTTTTTCCCCAAACTAGTACAAATTTACACATTTCTTTTCCCAGATACATCTGACACTTGCAGTAGTAACATGACTGAAATTACATTTCAATAATATTCAATTTATTAGTAATTCGCTATGTAAAATGTAAATTAACACCATTCCATCTTTAAATCTGCAATAATAACCACTTCAAGTTAGGCCGGAGTCCATTCTACAATTACCTGTGGCAAAACTGACTTTACTGAGAAAACAAACAGGAGTGTTAGTATCCAAATAGTGACACCAATGAACAAATCTTCCTAGCCTTCATTTATCGTTGGAATTTTTTCAAATCATGCATCAGCCTACCCAATAGACCTTCAGGGTGGTTATTTCCAAGCCAGTTCCGCCATTCAATCAATCGAAGGTGGTACTTAAGCAGTCTGGATGTGCGACTACCCCTATGACGCCATATGTCCACCTTGTATGTCTGCCAAGTGCGTTCAATATACTGAGTGTGGCTGCCTGTCCTGGCATCAACAAAATTGTCTTTGTGGCATACAGAGAAATGCTGATATCCATACTGACTGAGCTGACCCCTATACGCACGCCATTCGTCGCTTATTATGTAACTTCCTTGTTTTACATGCCGTCTGATCACACAAAGAACAACACGGCGTGAGTGTGTCTTCACAAGTTTGAGGATTGGTCTTCTAGTAGTTATCCCGACCTCCAGCATAGCGTAGACCCACTGCCGTTTGCGACGCCAGCTGTTGCCAAATCGTCCTCGATTGTACTAGAGGAGAAAAAAATCTATTTAGAGGTAGTGCACTGTAAAAAAAAAAAAATAAATCCTGTAACATTTACAGTAGCTTAGTTGCCAGCAAAGCACTGTAAATATACAGCAATGGACTGTAAGACATTTTACTGTTATTTTACTATATTTCTACAGCATTAAAACCACAGTAACTATAGTAAACACACAGTACTTTCCTGCAGGGGCAGACAGATAATAAGAAATTCACATTGGGCACTCAGGCCCTCAACATATCTGGTAGCCAAAATTAAGTTTTTGCGGGCCACGTTTATAGAAATACTTTAATTGTATATTTATTACATTTACAATTTTAAAGTAATGCTTTACTACCAAATTAATTGTCAGGTGCTGCTTTGAAATGAAAATATTTAGTAAATTTACATCAATAACAACACACATTCACTTGTGCCCATTTTCTGAGCAGAGAGCTATTAGATGAAGCTGTATATTATAAAAAGATGTTGGGTTACTTATTTAGTATTCGGTTTCATTGAGTCAGTTAATGCTTAAAAGCATATAAGCTAAAGCATATATAGCTTGCAGGGCATGTGTGTGTAACAAAAACATTATTAAAAAAATTATTGGTAATTAATTATTAGATACCGCTCAGGGATAAAACATTTTTTTAATTAATGGTAGATATTTGTAAATGTGTAAAAATACTGCTGATCTGGTGTTTTTTAAAAGGAAAAATCCAAGAACAAATTCCTGATTCACTGACTCCACCTCCTATACATCTATAAGTCACTTCATTAGGTCCAGCTACCTAGTATTTACACTCATTGTCCATTTTATCAGCTCCACTGACCATATAGTTTCACTCTGTAGTTCTACAGTTACAGACTGTAGTCCATCTGTTTCTCTGCATACTTTGTTTCTTCAGTGGTCAGGACCCTCACAGAGCAGGTACTATTTGGGTGGTGAATCATTCACAGCACTGCAGTGACACTGACGTGGTAGTTTTATGTTAGTGTATGTTGTGCTGGCACAAGTGGATCATACAGTTTTTGTGAGTGTCCACTCACTGTCCACTCTATTAGACACATCTAACCTATTGGTCCTCCTTGATTATATTTTATCTGAAGCCGCATAATTTGTGTTGGTCATCCTCTAGTCCTTCGATGGTGCTCAGTTTCTGGACACAGGACACTGTTAACTGGTGTTTAAAAACTCCAGTAGCACTGCTGTGTCTGATCCACTATGTGCAGCACACATGCACAAACTAACACTCCACCACCACGTTAATGTAACTGCAGTGCTGACAATGATCCACCACCCAAATAATATCTGCTCTGGAGGGGTCCTGACCACTGATGCAAGGGGGTAAAGGGGGGCTAAAAAAGCAGAGAAACAGATGGACTACAGTCTGTAATTGTAGAACTACAAAGCACACCTAGTTCAGTGGAGCTGATAAAAAGGACGAGTACCCATACAAGGTTGGTGTACCTAATGAAGTGGCTAGTCACGGTATCTTGCATTTTATTTATGCCCAAAGTCTTTAAAGTTTATATTAATTTTAAACCTTTCTTCATTAAATATACCATATTTTGTGTTATTGCTGAATAATCTGAAATAATGTTGTAAATATTTATGGGGATTCTGGGAGTATATTTCATAGGATCTTATACAAATGTAAATTATATCATTCACTGAAAAAATGGCACTTTAAATTTACATGATTAAAATGTGACAAGTGATGCACTTAAATAAAATGTGCTGCATTCTTGCCATAATACATATGATGCATCCACATATAAGATGTTCGTAGCCCAGTTTGAGCTGCTTTTGGAGTTTCTGATCCTTTTGCCACTTGTTAAAATGTTCCAGTTGCTGAAAAATAATTCATCATCTGATGTGTTCTCATGCCAACAGCAGAGATGACTGTGACTGGTTAGAGAGTTACTTTCGCTGGCAATAGTTCAAACGGAGCGCATTTTCACTGTCTGATATTCGCATTTGGTGTATAAAGGCCCTTAGGCCACACCATAAGGTAAGGTTATTGTTTACAGCGTTGGGTTACCATCCTGCTAGAGAATGGTAATGTTTAACATCATACTAACCAACACGTACAAACACGCATGAATGTATTTCATAAAATAAAAATGATTACAGAAACTTGACACATGATTACAGAAAAATGGTAATATTTTTCATAACCCAAGCTAAAGCACATTTTTCAATTTTAATATTTTTCAAAAGAATTCAGTACTGCATTTTGGCGTATTTAGTATTTATTTATATTACCTTCCTAAGTTTTCCAGGACCCATACGAACCCTGATTTTAATCGTGAATCCTTTTTTTTCAGATCACAGAGCACTCATCAAACAGCACTTGATGTGAAAAAAACTCTATTACCTTAATCACACATCTAGTAAAATAATGCATTACCTTCCTTTTGTGAGAGAATTTGCTTTCATCAAGAACAACAAAGTGATGTCGACCACCAACCTTCATGCCTTTGCTTTTAAGACAGGAAACAGCTTTCATGCACACCTGATATTCACAGAGAAGTACATTTCAGTACCACATATTTTATAAATATTGTAGCTGGAATGTACTTCCATTTTCCCATTTCTAAGCCCTTGCAAAATTTAAAAATACACTGAAAAAATAATGCTTTGTATTTGCTCGATTTAGGTATATCCATTGGTAGCAAATGACTAAAATATGTTACATTAACACAAAACAAGTAAACCCAAAAAAAACAAAATTGTGTTTATGTAATGTATTTTATTTATTATCCACTTGACATGTTTAAGTATGATCCGTTTCTTTTCACTGTATAGGCTATATATGTGTCCCTGCTTCCCAGCTTTAATTCAGGGAGTGATGGACTATACATAACTCAATTTCTGGCTGGGTCACAACCCGATTCACCTAAATCACCAATGAGTTGTTTGCAAAAGGCACAAACAATAACTGTCAAATTTGATTGACCTATTTATTTTATAGGGTTCTATATATAATGAAGCAGTCATAAACAGACCTTCCTTACTGTATGTGCCATTTTGGTCAGCGTTCTTGAACTGCCAGCAATCCCATCTTCAAGCATGTCAAGTTGTCTTAGCTGCAGACCTTGGGAAATCTACATTTGGTGTAGGAGGGTAAAACATTAGTCCAAATAACCCATAAGTTTATAAAAATAACTTACAAATGTCAACATTTGAGCAGGAGGCGTTTCTTTCATTAAGGCCTGTTCCACCCCATTGAAAGTAATGCCCACCTCCATAACACAGTCGACCATACTGGAATGAAACGCTGTCTAAATCCTCTTAATAAAAGAAATACAAATAAATATACAATTACTGACCAGTTTGCATTTTTAAATTTAATTGATTTCAGATTAATAATAGTTTACATCTAATAGGCACAGTGGTTTTGTACAAATTTTAGTGAAGGGGCTATGTCTGGAAAAGTTGATATGTGGATTAAATAAATGCCTCATTAAATAATTACAGTGACAAGTTAATATTATTCAAGCTCTTATTCAAGCTTTAGCTTGCTAAAGGGGCTGGACACTGGATTGTTATAATAAATCTTTATCTCTGTAATTCTGAACTTATGTGACTTGATGATCATTTGATGACCAAAGTCAAATTTGGAAAATATCAAATATACTTAAAAGCTATAAAAACTCCACTTCTGTCTGCTCAGGACTGTGTATATGTAACTGTAATCATGGCAATGTAAACAAACGTAAGGCAGCAGGCTTTTTTTATATTTATATTTCTTTTTAAACTTTAATTTTCAGACAGATGTCAGACCTTGAATCAATATCAAGATATCGGAATACGGAGGTAAAGCTAAGTTCAATCAGGAGTGATTATGGTAATCACAAAGGTAATATTAATTCTGTTCGTGACTAACGCAAATGCCGCTGGCTTTAGGTAAATAAAGTAACGTTAATGTTGGTTTGGATAGGTGGCAATGACAGCCAACAATCATTGCTTTCCCTTTTCCTAGTATACTGTAAAAACAAGTATATAGGCCAATGACATAAAAGCCAGCCCGTGCATAAATAGCATGTGATGACAGTTAGCTAGCCTAGCTGACCACAAACGGTAACGATAATGTCATCGAGGTTCGTCAGTTTTCGATAAACCTAAGTTAAAGTCTCAAAGCGCGTCATCCATTTCGCTGTGACATCTGTTCATTGCCATAAATAAAAAATAAAAGTGACGTACCTTACAGTCTGGAGCTATCTGAGATTTAAGCTTAGCTACCTAACTTCGTATTTCAAAATCGGACAAGTACTGTTGTGTGGCGCTGTTGTATGACGTAAACTGAAAGCAGCAGACAAAAAAACAAAACAAAAAAAAAAAACACAGTTTGGGTATAAAAAAACGGTACTGTGTCATCTGCTGATGATTTGGAAGACTGCACTATTAAAGATCATTAACTATAACACAGTGTTGAAACATAAGATGTTATAAATATTCTGATATACGTTCTGTTTTAAAATGGAACACGGTCAGTAATCGTGCATTTATTTATTTATTTATTTGCCTTTCATTAGGAGTGTTTAGATTTTTTCTACATTTCATTCAGATAATTCTCCGAGTGTTAAGACGCGCCATCTACAGGTGACAGAATGTAACTGCGGCAGCATTTAAGATGGAACTGAAAATAAGAAGTCAACTCTAGAAGCACTGAGACATAAGTGTAACTACCTACCTGTAAATGAACATCAGCCATCTCGCCAGAGATTTGCGAGATTTGTACATCACAGATCCATAACGTACTGATGTTTTCTTTGCTTTGTGGTTTGTTCCGCAAACCCTTAAGGCAAACAATAAATGTTCAATCAGTTCATTAAGTTTACGTTGTTGTGTGCCAAAATGAGTCTAGGCAATGCTCAACGTTATGGTTTATGAAATCTAACAAAAAATTAGCAAAAGCGCAGTTAGGCCACTTACCAGGTAAAACCATCACTGCGTGGGCTTTCTGTCAGTCGCATACGACGTGTGCATATGCAACACCGCATTGATCTTTTCAGTATTCCCCGGCGTTGCATCCATCTCACAGTTCTTCTCCTGTTGTTAATTGTGTCCCTTCGATGTACAAGTTTATTTCAAATTTCATGTTTTTGCCGCTTAGTCTGCAGCCAAGGAAAATCATGGTAAGTAATACTTAAGGGTCGCATACAATAGTTTATTACTATACATACAGCGTAATCATATACTTAAGGTTAGTCCCAATGTGCAGTGTCTTGTGAACAATTTAAGCAAGTTCCTAGATAGCCTAGCTTAACACAGTGGTAGCCAGCTTGCTAGGTGTAGCGACCAACATGTTAGCAAGTGGTAACATGAGCCTGAGGGTGGTTGGGCTGTGGGATTGCTAAAGCATAAAAACAATGTTTTTTGTGATCTTATTTTCTTTCATGTCTGATTTTGAGAAACAGAATCGTATAAATAGACGCGCCAAGTGAAAGGGACAAGTTTCAAATGAACAAGTTGAAAAGGAGCCAAGTGGGGAACAAGGAACATCTCTTCCACCACAAAAGCAGGGTATGTAACAGTTACTCAACGTATTTGGCCAGCTGGCTAGTTTAAGGGTAAATAAAGTAAAGTAACTTTATTTCTCAAAAACAGATATGAAAATAATCATGGGCGAGAGTTCAGGTTCCAGTCCACAGAGTGGCAGTAAGAAACTGCTGTCACGACCCCAGTCGTTATCCATCAAGAAAGGTCGGACGCTAGATCAATTAGAGTGATGCCAAGGCAGTTACATGCATATGGTTATATGGGTTACTTAAATAGGGCTGCACGATTTTTGATTAAATTTTACTCATGATTTTTGACTTAAAACTGAAATCATGATTCTCATTTATAATTCTTTGACACAGCAATTTTGTACAGAACAATATGAATTTATATATGAAGGTCTTTCATTCTGTATCTTACAGTCTCTTAGTGTGTGTACAGCAGTTTGGAGATAAAGTGTAAACAAAATATTACAAAAATATGTAATATAGTGAAATAAAAAAGCTTTCTAAATAAAATCAGAAATATGAAGTATAAATAGAATCACATTAAAAATCCCTGGCGTAAAACAGACAAACCACCATCACCTTATAACTGAGTTTGGTAGTACACATGAAGGCTGTCTGCATAGCAAAACATCTTTTATACTTCATCTTTCGTATTCATAAAGGTTAAAATCAACATATCTACAGTTGACTGTTGTTTCACATAGTGGTAATATGAACTAATATGCCATTTTATGAAGATGTTTCACTGACAGCTTTTTGTATTACATATATAAATAGTTTGAATGCTTAGTGTAAGGGATTACTCATGGTTAATTTTAAATGAAATAAACATTAGGTAGGTTACTTTTTGTAAGCTAAAATGAAACTTTTATTATTTAATTATTTGCAACACATGCAGTATAAAGTAAGCAACGGGGATCTTTAAAAGTTTGAGTTTATTAAACTTAAAATAATAAGATATAAACCACAAATTATTGTTCTGTGTATGCTCATTTTGAGTGTTCATTATTTCATTTTTGAGGTCTACTAGAATAGATTTACATGCTTCAGTGTTCCTAAAACATATTACCGTGTTGTATTAGCATGCCAAGCTTGCCAGTAGGCAGGCAGTAAGAATTGTATTATGGGTAGACATCACCTTATAACAGAGAAAAGGCTGGAGTTCCAACAAGGTATTTTGGGCAGCTGAGAAATGTTGTTTCTGTGGGAGAGATTTTCTCCCTCTGACGTGAACTTCCATTTGACAGAATTTGCGACTTTGCAGACAATTTACACGCACAAAAAGTATAACATGTCTCTTACTATTATACGCTTATTATCTGTACTTATTTATTACATATACATTTATCATTTAAGACATCCAGATTACAGTCAGGTAGAAGGACAAAGCCGGGTCAAAACCAAAACCAGGGTAAAAAATCTCTGCAAAAGGGAGCTGTTAGCACCCAAGAAGTAGATTTAATGTGCATTGTTAAAAGGAAAGGAACTGACCTCATTAATACAGGTTCCTTCAGTCACAAATTGCCTGTATGTGAATGAAAAGACTCCAAACCACAGTAAACATACCCTGTATTTCATTTAACTAGGTCTAGGTTGTCAAGCTTGGTAGATTTCTGACAGCTTTTACAATTCTACTCGAAGTTAGGCTGAAAACTAAGTTAGACTGAAACATTTATTGTTGAATATTAACAGTGTTCTGACTGTTTTAATAGTAGCTGTTTATAATTTTCTTTCTACATATCTTTTTGTATTTTTTGAACATTTCACATGCAACCATGCAATATTTTAAAGCATAAATTCTCTCTTTTTATCTTGTTTTTCTTTTTCATTTAATTTCTCTCTTAATGCTTGTCTCTTCTTTTTATTTTTCTATAAAACAGATGAGAGGACATTGGCTTTGGACTCCAGCCCAGAAAAGGCATCCACCTCACTTCCTAAAAAGAGAAAGCTGCAGATGGCAAGCCCCCTGAAAAAAGGTTATTATACTAATTAATTTTTTCATAGTGGGTTACATTGTATTTACACTCTGTTTGAATGAAGCCCTATTCGAGCTGGTTTTGTTTTACCAGAGGAGGTCTGGTATTGCAAACATCTATGTAATTTCCACCAAATTACCCCAGATTGCCTGGATCAAAACCTGATAGCCGGATGTTCACATTGGCGTTAAGATTAAGAATTCACACAAACAAACAAGAAAAATGAACTTCCAGGTAAAGCATTAGGCTAGTAACGTGAGCTAATTCAGCTTAACAAATGTCACACATCAAGACAGAAATCACTTTGCCTTCTGAGAGGTGCTTTCAAGATACCTTATGTTCATTCTCTTTCTAATTAGGCCATGACCAAAAATGTTATAGATTATAGTAGTCTTTTGTTGAATTTGAGTATAGCTGTACCAGTTAAATTTTAGCGGTTAGTCTTGTTTGTTTATCATTCAGAGGCATCTTGTCCACCCTTTTTTATAGAATTGATAAATAATTAAGTTGTATCACACGATTACATTGCAAATGCATTTTTAAAATGCCTTCTGCTCACTTTAAATAAGGCCCAGAATTTTTTATTAGGTCTGAAGACCGACTGGAAAGTCAGTGTCTGCAGTATATTATCTTAGCTTATGGATGAACTTGATTCATTTGGTCTGTTCTTTTGTCTCAGATGTCTTGTAATTGTTTTGACTGTTACCTTTTTCATTGCAGGGATGTCTCCCACAGCTGCTTTGGAGCATCAAAAGTTGAGGGGCAAAGTTGAACTGATGGAGCAAAAGATCAAAATGCTGGAACAAGTGAATTCGGATCTGAAGGATGACAAAGAATTTTTGCTCAGCCAGATAAACTCGTCAGCTCCTCAACTGAGTATGTATTACGAAACAGCAACAATGTATTGCAATACATGGGGCAAATGAACGTATATAACATAATACATGACAACAGACTTAAATCTAATCCATATTCTTTAAAACAGCATTTTTCTTGTTTTCTTCCACCCTTATTTATTTTATCATTGTAGACCCGGAGAGGCAAACCATCAGATTCATCATATGATGAACCGAGTACATCATCATACAAGTCCAGCTCTTCAGAGGAGGTGCCAAAAAAGAAGAGGAAGAAGTCTTCTTGTGGATGTGATAGCGAGAATGTTCGACTTGGTAACAGCAGGACCCGTAGTAAGTGAATAAGCGTATTCTTCTGCTCACTCCCTTCCTGGTAGAGCTGGGCGATACGGCCAAAAATGTTATCACGATAAACAAAATTCATATCGTTGAATATCGATATCGTGTTTTAAACTATCCTTTATGTTCAGAACATGACGAACACTCGCCAAACAATGGAACATTTCACAGATCTGCCATGGGAGAGTGGGAGAAAGTGTCTGGTGAGCTGTTTTTGTCAGCTGGAAAAACATGGCTATTTTTGTAATAGTCATAATTTAAGAAAGAAAACAGATTATTTTTAGCCAGTGACGAGCGCTCGGCTACCCCGTTACAAATGACATTACAGTATTCAGACACCAGCTAGCGACGACTGGATTTCTCTATACTATCGTAGTAGTTTAAGGGGTGAACCGGAAAATATCAACACCAGACACACGGAGTCCTCTTTTTAGGTATGTTTAAACTGAAAGCGGTGCTTTTGCGTCGTGTTTGATCTACAGTATCATCAGTTCTCCGTGTTGTGTGAGTGACAGTGCGCTGCTTCAAGTTAGCCAGCTGCTAAAAACAGCTAGCTTGGAAAGATAGCGCTCTCCTGCTCTCCAATGCCTCACAGCTTCCTCAGTTTACTTTCGTATAAATCAGGGTTGTAATTTACATGAACTCACTTCTTTCTTTCACTTTCGTTGCTTGGGAATGCACTCATACTAAATTATGACTGTCCGAGCGCTGCAACAGCGCTGTAGTTGTGAGGATTGTGATTTATCGCTGCTAAAGCTTGTTAGGATGTAACGTAACAGAAAGAGGTGAGTTCGCTGTAGGACAGTATAGTTACACCACTGATCTCGTCACTCACACTCGGTCACAGGAGAACAGGTCGCCGGTCGCTCCACTCAAACAGGGAATGTATAACTCCGCGTTTCAGCAGTTGCTAAAGATTCATCTTACTCGTGGCCCCCTCCCTCTCTAATCATGTCGAAAAACTCGGAAGTGCGCCCTCTCCTGGCGACAGCAGAGTAGTGTCGCTTTCCTTGCAGTAGAAAACGCCACGAAGGCTTTCGCTGAACGTGGAAGTGTGAGAATGGTGTATTATATCGAACATTTATCGAACATGTCGTATCGCTCTATCGAGGAAAAGTTATATCGCGATAATTATCGTTATCGCCCAGCCCTACTTCCTGGTTCCTTTTCCGACTCCACCTCATTACTGAATGTTCCTGTTCTATTCGTCTGTATCAGTTCTGTGACTTATTAGACTTATTATTGCAGTGGCCATTTTAATGATTGTCTTCTGTTGCAACATAATGGAAGAGCAATATTGTAGAAAACTGAAAAAAATCACAGTTCAGAAAAAATATGCGTTCAAAAAAGTAATTTAATAAATGAATTAGATCAATACAAAGTTCTTTGCCATTTAATACAAAGTCTTCATAATTCAGAATAATGTACAGCACCATTAGAAGACTACTTTCATGTAGAAATACCACTGTGACCATCACATTTTTTGCAAGTAACATGTTGCAAAGAGTAGCACGTCTAAAGTTAGCAAAGTACCTGCTCACAGGTAACAAAAAAACTGCACTTTTTGGTTGGTCTTGTCTTCTGTCAAAGCAAACACTTCTTGGCTGTAGTCAGAGGCAGGACAGAGGTTTCCTGCTGCTCTACATTAATCAGTCAATTAGCTTGTGCTGACTAGCAAGCTCTCTGGAGAAAAAAGGAAATTCAGACCAGACTGGGTGTCTGCTCTCGTGCATCAGTCTTTACTGACCCTGTCAAACTAGACCGGACAAGCTTACCTGGATTAGCACTTTATGCTACTTACAACAACAATAATTATTTATCAGTTATGTTTTCTCATTACTTTGTTGTGTTACATAATAAACTTATAAGTTTATTTAAAGAGCAAGCAGCCGTATGGGAAAGTTTGGACACCCTTGGTCAAAAAGTAAAATCCACAATTACTTTTTATTTGCTGACACTGACATATTGGAAATTTTAAAAAATGTGCCGTGTGCAGGCTTTACGGCACTTTAAATATGTTATGTTACAAAAGCTAAAATATATATAAATTATTTTTTTAAATGTGTTAAATTCAGCAAATTACTAGAAATTGCCACATTTATGCCATATTTAAGTTGTTTGTTATAGTGGGTGTGTTCATTTATTTTCACTTGCAGAATCAACAGAATGTGTGATTTGAGGAGGGCTGTCCAAACTTGTAAAAGACTGTAAATAAAGAGCATAATAAATAAATATATTCCAGCATTCATACAAAAGTAACCTAACAGTAAGTGATGGTAATAATTATAGTAATTATTGTTCAGTTTCTTAGTAGTATTAAAAATAGCCATAATAATACATAACAGTAAGAGTAAAACATAATGTTTTTCATTGAATTTTTAAAGTGAAACATGTCTTGAGCTTTTCTTATACGATATTTGGATATTCAAAACAATTTTCAATAGTTGCAGGCCTAGACGTTGCCATAGCTGCAAAATGTGTTGATCATTAAGATTCGCTTCGTGTCTTGTACATAGTAAATTTTCACTTTAGTGATATTACCAACCACTGAAGTAATTAGACATTTTCATGCTGGTTAGCTTACATAGGAATACAGTATTGGTTATGTTGTTGTTGTCATTTTAACTGTACAGCACATAGAATTTCTTCAAGTAATTAAAATAAATAAATCATGTTGGAAATTTCCCAGCATTATTAGTCAGATTTTCCAAAGACACAAGACTGTAATTTTAGATATTCATGCATATGATTGTTGAACAGTATTTGTGGAGTATGACAGATTTTTCATGCCTTTTTTTGCAGTGAAGACGATTGAAGGGGTCATAAAACGCTATAAGCTGGCACTGAAGTTGTACAGAAGATGTGGCTCCAGGAAGAGGGCGTTTGAAAAGCAAAATGTCGACAGAAACACGATTGCGCGAACTGCTCCAATTGCGGAGCTTTACATAGCATTTCCAGATGCCTTTGCTGCTCTGCCAGAATGGAATGACACTGTTGAGAAGATGTCAGCTTATGCTGAACGTTGTAGGCAGGCAATTACTTGTGACATGGCTCAGCAAATTCTAGAAATGAAAAAGAAACACCTCCTTCTTCCAATTGTGTATAAGCTCACATAAAAGTTGATAAAATATTAGTGATACAAAGGCATCTGAACATGTAAATTTGTTATTTGGGTTTGTGTTCATTTTGTTTTGTCCAACTGAAAAAAATATCTTGTAGGAAATGTCAAGTAATTAATGCTGTGTACTGTGTTTAAGTAGGATGTCTTAGAGCTTTGGAGTATCTTGGTATTGTTAATATGGTTGTTACAAAGTAACAAGTTTCATTCATATTCACTACAGTCAGTTTGTAGTACAAGCTAGTTAATATGTCTGTGCTTTTAAGTTTTAAGTTTAAGTGATTAGGTGACAGAACAACCTGCCTATTGATCACAAATATTGAAAAAAACAACGTTGTATACTGAAGGCATTATCTTTTTCTCAGTAAAAGTGTTTAATGTAAATTTGGTTCCACATTTTGATTTACTGCTGCCATTAAATATTAACAGTAACAATTTTCATACTAATTTACGAATGTTTATCAGGTAGCATATCATACAGCACCTTAAAAACTTAAATAAAACTCACATAAAACAAGGTGAGGCTAAGGTTTACTTAAGAAAATATACATAAAGATGTTATCATATCACGGAACTTTAATATTTTTATGAATTCTTATTCAAAACTGTAAAATGGAACTCACTTTACTTAAGGGCCAGAGAAAACATACATAAGAGTGTCATGGAGCTTGAATAAGGATTCATAAAAATATTATAGACTGTAAAATGGAACACACTTTACTTAAGGGTCAGAGAAAACATACATAACAGTGTCATGGTGCTTGAATAAGGATTCATAAAAATATTATAGACTGTAAAATGGAACACACTTTACTTAAGGGCCAGAGAAAATATATGTAACCTATATGTGTCATGGTGCTTGAATAAGGATTCATAAAAATATTATAAACTGTAAAATGGAACTCACTTTGCATAAGGGCCAGAGAAAACATACATAAGAGTGTCATGGCGCTTGAATAAGGATTCATAAAAATATTATAGACTGTAAAATGGAACACACTTTACTTAAGGGTCAGAGAAAACATACATAACAGTGTCATGGTGCTTGAATAAGGATTCATAAAAATATTATAGACTGTAAAATGGAACACACTTTACTTAAGGGCCAGAGAAAATATATGTAACCTATATGTGTCATGGTGCTTGAATAAGGATTCATAAAAATATTATAAACTGTAAAATGGAACTCACTTTGCATAAGGGCCAGAGAAAACATACATAAGAGTGTCATGGCGCTTGAATAAGCATTCATAAAAATATTAAAAACTGTAAAATGGAACTCACTTAAGAGCCAGAGAGAACATACATAAGAGTGTCATTACAGTGTCATGGTATTTGATTAAGGATTCATGAAAATGATTTTTCATTACCCACATTATTTTGCCATTTAGCAGATTCTCTTAACCAGCACAAAATGTGCAAACAGTGGAAGCAAAAGCACAACAGAATACTATAGATTGAGACTGCAAGAGT